CACAACACAGACCCAACAAACTGATACACCATTCATCCGTGCTGTTGTCATATCTGGTCTGGTGTTCCTGCTGTACATCTCACTATTCTTGGCTTAAAAGTGTCTGTAATGTAATCGATCTTGACCGGGCGTCTCAACTTCAGTCACTTTCTCGCTGACGTGACGTGTCTTCCCTCTGTCTTTTCTAGAAGCTTTTACCTTGGTGCCCCGACTGCATGAAATTAAGCGTGCTACTCGATTGGCAACTAGGTCTCACCATTTTATTGTTGAACTAGATAAATGCAACTGCCACTTCTACCCTGTTTCTTTTCTCGCACTTCCCTCCACCAATTTCTTGCTTCCTTGACAACTACAAGCTTCAAAAATGTAAACGCAACGTCAATCGGTATCTTCTGTCTTCTTGAAATTTGTTGCTTTTCTTTGTCCTTTCCCCAATCCTCCCCATTCTCATGCTTCTCTTTCACCCACTGCATTCTAGTGGCATTCCTGCCTTGCTTGGGGTAAGACTATATATATATATATATATATATATATATATATATATATGTGTGTGTGTGTGTGTGTGTGTGTCATTCGCAGACATTACTGTTTCGCTGTATCACAGCTCCTTAGTGCGAGTCGACATCGGAATGCCTCAAGCCAGAATCGAAACCCAACCAATTTGATGTCAGTCAGAGTTTCTACCTCTGAGCTATCTTCATTCGGCAGGGTGAAACAGCTAAATATAGCATAGATAGATAGATAGATAGATAGATAGATAGATAGATAGATAGATAACGAATAGACTAAGATAGATAGATAGATAACGAATAGACTAAGATAGATAGATAGATAGATAGATAGATAGATAGATAATAGAATGGAGATAAGAATGGACTAAGATAGATAATGAATAGACTAAATAGACTAAGATAGATAGATAAATAGATAGATAGATAGATAGATGGATAGATAACGAATGGACTAAGATAGATAGATAAATAGATAGATAGATAGATAGATGGATAGATAACGAATGGACTAAGATAGATAGATAGATAGATAGATAGATAGATAGATAGATAACGAATGGACTAAGATAGATAGATAGATAACGAATGGACTAAGATAGATAGATAGATAGATAGATAGATAGATAGATAACGAATGGACTAAGATAGATAGATAGATAACGAATAGACTAAGATAGATAGAAATCTTTCTGTTATATTTCATTGAATCTGCTTCTTTTTGTTTTTCAGATCAATGAAACAGTTCCATTAGAAACAGAAGATGATTGTGTACTCATATATGGAAAGTGTACACCTGAAGGCATTTTAAGTCTTGTCAATATATCTTGTGCTACAGGTAAGTTAAGCAAAATATCAATTACGTTTCATGATTCATTGAACCAATTCAAAGAGTCATAAAAATGTACAAGCAAAGATGCTCCCAATTGGATTTTCATTTGGAAAACATAAACTGATATTAAATACATAAAATACACATACAGAAAACATTCTAGGTTATCATTCCTTTTATTTATAGAATCTATTGTTCTTATTTTTAGTTGTTATAGATGCTATTATATATTACATTTCAGCTAAGTATTCTCGGGCCATCTTCAGGACGCCATTTTTGTTTGCCAATAGGAGGTATCTGGTGTTTGCCGATTGTTGCATTGTTTTTTTGTCTGAATGGTGTTATTCCTTTTTTGTTCTTCATGATCCAGAGTTGGTGGATTTCACAACCTGAAACAATCAGCTCATCATATAGCATTTCAAGTTCAAGTTGGGAATGATCGAGTTGAAGTTGGGAATGATCAAGTTCAAGTTGGGAATGATCAAGTTCAAGTTGGGAATGATCAAGTTCGAGTTGGGAATGATCAAGTTCAATTTCGGAATAATCAAGTTCAAGTTGGGAATGATCAAGTTCAAGTTGGGAATAATCAATCTCAAACTGATACTAAACAATTTCAAGTTGGACTAACCAATTTCAAATTGAGACTAAATAAATTCAAGTCAGTACTAAACAATTCCACGTGCTATTGGTGGCTGAAAATGTTCCTTGTCATGCTTCGTTAGAAAACCAATTTCTAGAATCTGAGTTTGCCTATCACCACTTCTTATGCTTAGGACCATATAGTCCGATGATGAATCCGATAGAAGGAGCATGGTCAATTCTTAAGCCTAGTGTAAAATCCGAGGTAGATTTATATATATATAAGAGGTGGTGAAAAGTTCTCTGTTTAGCCAACAATAGCACTATCCCCACCCACCCATCACAAATACTGATGCTGATCAGATTTTTTATTATTATTATTATTATTATTATATTTTATAATCCATCTTCTGTGCTGGAAGATATTTTATTTAATGTGGAAGGCTTCTTTACCAATACAGTGATACCTCAGTTTAAATCGTTTCGAGTTACGTCATTTTCGAAGATACGTCGGTTTTTCTTAAATATTATATGGAAAAATAAAATTCGGCTTAAATCGTTTTACTCGAGTTGTCGTCGGCCGTTAAAAATATTAAAAATATTAGAAACGTGAAAACACTAAAATAACAGTAAACGCATATAAAATCATACTTACATAAATTTTAAAATAATATCATAAATTCTTCAAAAACAAAAAGTAGAATAATAATGTATATTCAGCATATGTTTTTAGTTCAGATTCCTGCTGACAGTTGTTTTCTGTACTAACACCGATTTTGAATTCAAATTTGTTTACATCTGTTCTCTGCCGTTGACGTTCTTTGAATTGTGAGTTAGAATAAATTTACGCCTGTAGCTCCGAAGCAATGTCCCAGTGCAAGTGTTAATGCTAAGTGTAATGTTATATCACCGGAAGATGGTGGAAATTAATTATTTTATTCAGAATACTGTAGGTACATATAAATACTATAAAAGGCAACGAGGAGTGCTTATTCGCAGTTTATAGTATGGTTATTTCGACTTGTCGTTTTTCGACCTAACTCGTGAACTCTGGAACCAATTAACGACGTAGAGTGAGGTATATCTGTAATATCATTGAGTATTTTGCGTCTTTCCTTGCAGTGAGTGTTGTATAGTTTTTGTTATCATCTGTTGATCTTTATCATAATCAAAGCTTCGTTTCTTTTGCAGAATGTGAACATCCATTTGTCTGGCAGAAATGTGCTTGTCACCGAACATGTACAGATCACAATCATATGTGCAATATGGACAATTGTCATCCCGGATGCTCCTGTCCTCGTGGGACCTTTTTCCAAGATGGCGAATGTGTTTCTGAATGTGGCTGCACTGTTAACGGTACAACAATAGACAATGGAGACTCTTTCTTTTCAACCGAGTGTGAAGAATGCAAATGTATCAATAACACTTTACTCTGTGGAGAAATATGTGATATTACCTGTGAAAAGGTATTTTTTTTCAAAGTCATTGATTTGTGGACGATTGAAGTGACAAAATTTGGCCCTTGTAAATATGTGTGTGTGTGTTTATACATTCTTTTTTATAGATACAAATATTTAAGTAAATGCTCTGTTTATAATAAACGGTATTAATAACATTTAACGGCCTGAATGTCCGAGAAATTTGCGTCCTCCGACAGGATTCGAACCTGTATCCTTATACGGAACCGTCATATAGCCTGACGTGCTTTTGCCGATTTCACCACAGAGGAGCGTTTCGGTTAGCAAGATCGATTTTACAGTTTTTTAAACTACAATTTTCCATGATTTTCTCACGTACATTCATATCTGCTCGATGCGTATCCAAATGTAAACAAATGACGTCACACATTATGAAATGGACAAAGTCTTACAATTATTTTAAGACATTTTTTTATGTTATACATTCATTTTTATAGATACAAATATTTAAGTAAATGCTCTGTTTATAATTAACAGTATTAACAACATTTCAGGCCGGTAAATGTTGTTTAATACTGTTTATTATAAACAGAGCATTTACTTAAATATTTGTATCTATAAACAGAATGTATAAACATAAAAATGTCTTAAAATAATTGTCGGACTTTGTCCATTTCACACACACACACACACACACACACACTCATATATATATATTGATGTTAAAATAATCCTACATAATATAATGGATTCTAATACATTTAACTGTTCTTAAAAAGAATATAGTAAAATAAAAATTAAAAAGGAGAATATTTCAAATCGTAGTTAAATAAAAAGTATTAAAAAAAAAAAAAAAACGAAAATCTTTAAATTTAAAAAATGACGCTGAAATTTTTTTACCGTTAACAATTTAAAAAAAAAAAAAAAAAAAAATTCAGACGACATCCATTCAACTGATGTCAGGTTTTCATTGTAAAATACATCCCTACCCCTTACCAAATTGTAGCTAATAACTGATACAATGATACTGACATAAGGGAAATCTAGACATCCCTTGTTCAATTTAAGTAGAATATTCTGTAACCATGGAAACGTGATTTTAGCTGTGTCTTTAAAACCCGGTAATTTTTAAAGTTACTCTAAAATTCGCTTGAAGATGAAATGGAACTAATGCTTTTAATTTAATTGCAAAATTAAATTCGGGGTTTTAGCTTCTATTTTTGAAACATGGTTGGAACTGTGTAGAAAAAAAAAACATATTTTAAATCAATTAATTTATAATATTAATGCCCTGTAAATTTACATTGAGCACTATTTTGTAAAAATAAAATATCTATAAGAACACCGGATTTTATATCTTACTGTTTTTTTTTTATTTTTATATTATATATATATATATATATATATATATATATATATATATATATATGTTATGATTACTTCTGTTGGGAGGGGGTCTTGTTTGGTTCTTTTAGTAAGTGCTTCTTTAAGGGTGGATAGTCCTTTGATGTGTTTGATGTTTGAATAAAGTGTGATTTTAAATGTTTTGTTTTTAATTAAAATGAATTTATATTATTCCATTCATTTATTTCACAGGGATTTAAAATAGAAAATGGTGATTTTGATGATGGAATCTGCTGCCGTTGTGTCCCTGAAGAGCCGATGTGTGAATATCCACCACATTCAGGGAACTTCTTTCCTGTAAAGAAATTCGACTACTTCTCTTTTTTTATCAATGACTGTTATTTGATGTCAACATTCTCTTTCTTTGACAAAAGTCGCCAGTATTGATATTTCATTCATTTTCCTTTATCGACACATGTCACGACAACACTCTTATCACTGTTTTTCATCTGTAATGTTTATGGTCTTTTGCCGTACTAGAGTTATCTCCCTTGATATTGTCCTAATAATGGCAGATTTAATGTTTAGGTCATTTGCAATAATAGAGTTATCTCCCTTGATTTTACTTTTACTTCTATGATTTATGTCCTTTCAGGACGTGGACGAAATTTCCGGTCCCAATTTTGCCTTTTTGCTATTTCTCCTAATCCCTGCCGTCAAAAATGATGACAAATATATATTTTTAAGTCCTTGTAGTGAATCTAAGAAGGTTGCGTGAATATTTAAGATATAAATGCAATATCCACAAACATAAATTATAAGAAATGGCCAAAAAATGGTAACGATATTCAATCACGACAAAAAATACATGTTTGAAACAAAAGATTAGATTTTATATACACAATTTACAATTTCTTTGTTTGTAATGATGTGTGCAAAGGTATAGAGAAAAAGTTCTTTGCTGTTTCGGAAATGTCCAATGTCTAAAAAGTTGTCCGCATTTGATTGAAACAGTTGAATTTAACTTAGACAAAAGATTTTTCTATGAAAGATATTAAGTGAAAAAGTTTGCTGTGTAGATTTTTCTAATCACTCATAAAGAAAGTTTGTTTTTTGGGTTTTTTTTTGTGACAATTTAACACATAATTCCCGTGTGTATCTTTCGCGTGTGTGACTCTCAAATGCGACGAAAATTCGTTTGCTATTTCTATTTATAGTTTTTTTAACAACAAAATCGGCTTCACCGGCTTGGTAGCTTGTTGCGAATTTTCCTGAGAAATGCACGGGCAAATATTGCTTTTTTTCTTATTTTTTATCCAGTAGGATTTCTTGAAACATTTAAATTAGGGATGAATTTGAGAAAGATTATTTATGTCGGTTGAGCCTATTTTTGCAAATTTTGTCTGTTTGGTTATGGAAATTTCTCAAAGCTTATTTTTATTTAACAACCAATAAAATTCAAGAAAATAGTTGAAAATTGAAGTAAGGGTTACTAAATCCTCATTATTATTAGGAAGTTTTCGTACGTGAGACTTTAAAAATATTTTTTCAGTTATTAGTACTATACTATGCTTTCCAAAAGCTAAGCAAATTATTAAGAAACAGGAAAATTTCCTTAGAAACAATAAAAAAAAAAGATTACTGAACAGTTATGTAATATCGGCCCTCCTACATGGCAATGAATGCTAGACAATCTCATCACAGATGGAGAAAAGACTTGAAGTAACAGAAATGTGGTTCTACAGAAACATGCTGAGAATTCCGTGGACAAACATACGTTCTCTCTTCAAGAGAGAATGTCTGGGTGTCTGTAAAAGTTTCAGCCCAGCATGCAAATTACTGGAGATACCAAAATCAAACAAGTAAAACAATTTAAATATCTGGGAATTGTTGTAACAGAGGAGAGAAAGTGCAACACTGAGATGCGAAAGCCCATTGGGATATCGGAAGATGCCTTCCGAAAGATAAGCAAGGTATTAAGAAACAGGAAAATTTCATTAGAAACGAAGAAAAGAGTACTGAATTGTTACATAATATCAGCTCCCCTATACGGAGCTGGACAATCTCCTCAGAGATGAACAAGAGACTTGAAGTAACAGAAATGTGGTTCTACAGAAGGATGCTGAGGATACCATGTACTGAACATGTGAACAATGACAACATTTTAGAGAAAATATAAACAAAAAGGCCCCCTGTCCATGCAATCAGAAAAAGTCCATTGAAATTTCTAGGGCACATAATGAGGAAAAAGGACTTGAAGAATTTGATACTCACACGACAGATTAAAAGCAAGAGAGACAAGGAAAAGTAGCGTATTATGAGCCTAACGGGATTGTGTAAATATTCGATAAAACAGGGATTAGGAGATGCAGCAAAAAAAGAAAAACTTTATTAAAAGCTACAAAGGATAAGAAACTGCAGAAAGCCATAATCATCTACGTCTTGAAAGAAAATGACACACAGAAAAATATATAGATTTTCAAGGGGCATAACTCCGTATCATTCCGATTTTTTTTTGTATTACTTCCCTTTAACTGCCATTGATCCACTTTTTATATAGATGTGTATAAAAAAGAAAAAGTTACTCGCCAGTCTGCTAGGGCGGCAAGCAAATCCCTGTTGCAGACACCTGCTCAGGTATCATTTTTGTATTTATTCAACACCCACAGAGCTCTCCTGTGGTTTATACTACAATTATGCTGAACGGAGCTTCGTTACAGCTTCTGGGGGAGAGTGTATAATCTGTCATGATTAGCATTTTGAACAACACAATGCACTTAATCCCTCGGTCACGATGACTTGTGACTTTGCGTTAGCACAACCATGGACAGTAAATCTATAAATGCATATATATATATATATATATATATATATATATATATATATATTATTTATAAAAAAAAAATTATAACATAAATATGTCATAAAATCACTACAAAAATAGCCATTTTGTTTCAACACCCTCGGTGTCTTATCAAGTGAGGATGTTGAATGTAAAATAAATGGTTTTAAAAGTTTCAAATTAATTAACGATCCTTCGCAAGGGGAAAACATTGTTACAAAAGCTAGAATGACCAATCAAAATCCAAGTATAGGAAGATTCAAAAGCTTGACAACAAATTCATGTTATAATAGCTATTCAGATCTTTAAAATACGGATAATATTAAAAAGAATTTATTCTAACCAATAATTATTAAATTATATGATAAAATTTGATATTAAAATTAAAAACTGCCAATTTTAAAATCCAAATTTAATCACTAAGTTTAAAAACTATAAAATTATTAAGAAAAGAAAAGATACATGCTATTCAATGTATTTCTTCGTTGAAATTACGTTCGACAAGACGCTACAATATCCAGTCATTTGACAATACATGTATATATATTTTTTAATGCAAAGTGTGTGAATGGGGTCTTAAACTCACGCGCAAAACAACAAAAACACAATCAGATTATAATACATAAGCACCCAGACATATTTAGATATATATACACACAAAAAAGCAACAAGACAGGAACATCTCCACAGCCCTTTATGAAAAAAGGAAACGGGGAAACCAACACCTATACACACACACAATTAAAAGTGAATGCACTGTCCATACACATAGACACCAATAAATACATGTACACACATCCACAGACAATGACCTAGACAATCAGATACCACATCCAAGAAATATTTAAGTCTGAAAGTGTCATTAAACAAATGCTAACCACTTATTAAAATATAACTTAAGCGAGCAAATATAGAAAGATAAAAATGGTTAAAAATAGTATTATTTAATATATTAAAATGAAAATTCCAAAACCACAAATATCAATAAAAAATATATTTTAATCATATAAGTTGATAATAGTTTCATTATATATTAGGCAAAGAAAAACAGGATAAAGAAAATCTACAGAAATAAGTGTACTGTCATATGTATATACATATATACACATATATACACACGGCAGCAAACACAAATTAACACACATATTGTATATATATATATATATATATATATATATATATATATATATATATATATACACATCACTGCAAATGAACTAAACTGAGGAAAAATAGAAATCAATTAGACCCTGTCACTCCAGTGGGTCTAAAACTGACTGTATGGTGAAAGAAAGGAAACAAAAGTGGCTGCTTCTATTAATTTGCACAAGGGTGTATGTTGTGTTTAAGTTTTTGTTCTGAGTAAGTTTTAGGTGAAACTGGTTGAAATGTCCTCAAGAGTGGTAACTGCTTTAGCTTTTAGATCACAGATTAGAAGTAATGCTGAATTTTTTTTTTAATAGTACATTTTTGAAGAACTAACAATATAATAACATGATCTACATGAAATAAAGGACTACCAATATATTTAACCCTACTGAACTGTTTATGATATTGTTTTAAATACCATTGTATGAGAGATGCAAATCTCTCAAACACAGAAATGACTGTATAGCAAAGAAGAACAAATGAAAGAGATTTAGTCTGCAAAACAAGGAGCGCTTATATGGAATACCCATCAAATTGATATACCATTCATCCATGCTGTTGCTATATTTGGTCTGGTGTTTCTGTTGTACATCTAACAATTCTTGACAAAAATAGAAATCAATTACACCCTATCACTCCAGTGGGTCTAAGACTGACCTTATGGCAGAACTAAAGTGATTGGTTTCAATTAATTTGCACAAGGGTGTAATTTAATGTGGTTCACTTCAAGCCAATGTAAGTGTTGAGTGGACTGAGCTCTGTGAAAAAACTTAAAAGAATCACTTACATATTTATTCACATAGTCCAGATTATCCAGCAAGTGCTGGACAATGGCTGAATTATGTGCACTTATTGCATTATTATTATTTTTATTTCCTTTGATTTCTGACGTTTACACATTTCTTTCTGGGTCCCCACCAGGGACCTAAGGTTAGAAATGACACTTTCCACTGACAAAAAAAAAAAAAATTTACATGGATAAAGCCCTTCATAAAGTGTGGGCTGTACTTGTGAGAACAATTTTATTTGTATTTCTTTGAGGCATGGGCTTCCAGGAATCCCTTCAATTTGTCAATTGGAATCTATTCAACATTTTATTTATTATTATTATTATTATTATTATTGCATTATTCCAAATTTTTAACATATCAGCAGATAGCTATTAATGTCAACAATTGAGCACAAATAGTAATTAATTAAAAAAATTAGTAATTAATGTATAATATCCATAACTACATGTACAAGAATGTTATTTTTGATAAAAGTTAAAAAATAACCATGAATACATAAAAAATGCATATATTGTCGAAAATTCCTTTTTCCACAATATAGCTATTTGTACTGTTATAATGCTTATTACCTAAACAATAATAATGCTGAATAATTTTTTTAAAACAATAAAATATATTTAATCACATCTCCCTAATAGCTGTTACAATCTGCAAATTCATTTTTTAAATTTAAAATTTTCTTTTCGTAATTGTTCAGTCCACTCTTCAGGAGGTTTCAACAAATGACTGCCATTTTTCTCATTTGTCATTATCTTTATACTGAGTTAATTAATCTTTGGCTGAAATATTTTTGACACTTCTTTTACAGCCAATATCAAAAAATAGAAATTTTTACAGATAAATATTACAATTTTTTTCATAAAATGTCAAGCTTTCTTTGAGACACACTTTTTTTCAAATGTAAATGTATAAGACAAACCTAAACTATTATTTCAACCAATGTGAATTGTTTTAACAAATCGCGACATTTAAATTTTTATTATTGCATTATTCTAAAATTTTAACACATCAGCAGATAGCTATTAATGTCAACAACTGAGCACAAATAATTATTAATTAAAAAAATCAGCAATTAATGCATATTATCCATAACTACATGTATGAGAATGTCATTTTTGATAAAAGTTAAAAAATAACCATAAATACATAAAAATTGTGTATATTGTCGAAAATTTCTTTTTCCACATTATAACTATTTCTGCCATGTTATAATGATATACATATATGTGTGTGTGTGTGTGTGTGTGTGTGCAGATATGTAGAAAAATAGGAAAGAACATGTTAGGTAAATAATCCCAGAGTTCTTTAGTATTTTTGTTTTTATTTTTTAAAAATAGTGCTCCATACAGAAGTAGAGCTTAAATTATAATTATTTTTTTATTTTCTTTTTAAATATGATACCATATTTTAAAAAAAATTAATATATATATATATATATATATATATATATATATATATATATATATATATATACAAGTATAGGATTGGTGTATACGGAATAAAATTCCAATATTTGCTCTACTCTGTATTCATGTAACAGTATTTCCCTTTACGAGGGGTGGTTAATTAATTTGAAGCTTTTTAAAACCTTTATTGTACAATCTACATTCAACATTATCACTTAATAAGACACCAGAGGTGTTGAAACAAAATGGCTATTTTTGTAATGATTTTATATAACATATTTATTTAATTTTAAATAATTATATATATATATATATTTTATATATATATATATATATATATATATATATATATATATATATATATATATATTGTTTCATTAAATAATATAGACAAGTTTTGTCTGTTTATTTTATGTAAATTCTTTTCATACCGTCTGATAAGCTAAGTAACATTATCATTAAAAGACGAAAGAAAATCACCATATTGATACATATTTTTTTATCCTATCTAAGCTTTCGGCTATCTTAAGCCATTTTCAAAGATGACAATTACATTATATGTTAAACAATACACAGACAAAACAATAATGATAGTCTGTTGCAAACTCATGCATATAAGACATTGGAAGTGAAAATCGCATTGCAGCTCATGACGTCACACATGATCACGCGAGAGTGAATTCGAGAAGTATTAAGTATGGGAAGATGTTGGTATAAATCAGTGCCTTCTGTTACCAGTTATAGTCACTTAAGAATATTTGTGGAGATTTCGTAGTTTATTTTGTTCAGGTTAGGTTTCAACTGTTTTATGTATATAGCTTCATGAATTTTTAGTTTTTGTTTATTGTTTTCATGTTTAAGTATAGTTGTATTTTCAACAGGGATTTTCCGGAATTGTGTATGCGGCCAGGCATGTTGTTTTAAATGTCTAAAAATGTTAGAGTTATCTTTCAAATGTAGAGTCAAGCGTCATGAATGCATGTTGTATATATATATATATATATATATATATATATATATATATATATATATATATATATATATATATATTATATTACATGTGCAGTGCTTAGTGGAAAGCACTCTATATCAGTGATAGAGCTAATATATTCAGTTGTATGTATATAGGTAGTTATGAGTATATATATATATATATATATATATATATATATATATATATATATATATATATATAAGTATCAATGTGGTTAAATCAAATAACTACATATTGCTAATCATATATACATGTGTTAGCATGCATACAAAGCTAAGTAAATAAATATTTACTCAATGTGGTTATTGTTCGGATGTCTAGCCACACTGAAGAGCTTGAAACAGCAAAATAGTCTGTCTGTGGATGACAATATATATATATATATATATATAGGTAAAAAAATCTGTGAGTAAGTAATCCTCTTAATATAAAAGTAAGTAATCCTCTTAATATATATAATCTTAATAAAAGTAAGTAATCCTCTTAATATAAAATATTAAAACTGATCCACAAAAGAGAGATCAATATAATTTTTATTATAGAGCATAGAAAAGAATTACAATTAATGATACAAACAATTTACCAATGATCATATGATCATCTGTATGAGGTAAATTTGTTGGATCTCATTAATTGTAATTCACAAACACACACACACACACACACACACACACACACACACACATATATATCATACAATCAGAATTAATGTATATTATATTAATTCCAATTTTAATCGATATATTGCTCTTTTTTTTAGTATAATATGGGATTTATGTGTAAATCAGTTTTAATATTTATTATTTTATATTGTGTGAATAGGATTCACTTGAATTATATACCAACAGATTACTACGTATATTTATATTTATATATAGTCATCCACAAACAGACTGTTTCGCTGTATCACAGCTCATCAGTGTGGCTAGATATCCAATCACTTCAGGCCAGAACCGAAACCCAACTAATTTGGTGTCAGTCGGAGATTCTAACCCCTAAGCTATCAACACCCAGCAAAAGAGAAAGGCGAATTTTTGCATATTTATCTTTTCATAAACACACCAGACACTCAGAGAATTCAATCACTAGGAGATAGGAGAGTTTTGCATTATCAGCAGTGTATATATATATATATATATATATATATATATATATATTTAGAAGCATGCATGGACAATCTATCTATACTATAAGTATATATATATATATATATATATATATATATATATATATATATATATATAGAGAGAGAGAGAGAGAGAGAGGGATTGTCCATGTATGCTTCTTACAGAATGTGGGTATAGTAGGCCAATAAGAAGACAGAATAATAATAATAATAATAATTTTAAAGGTGAATTTTTGCATATTTATCTTTTCATAAACACACCAGACACTCAGAGAATTCAATCACTAGGCGATAGGAGAGTCTTGTATTATCAGCAGTATATATATATATATATATATACAGAATGTGGGTGTAGTAGGTCAATGAGAAGAGAATAATAATAATAATAATATTTATAGGCTGTAGGATGGTTTGGGGTGATATAAGAAAAAACTGTGTCTTATAAGAAGCAAAATACGGTATTCCTGATTTGAATGTGTCTCTTTCAGATTAATTCCAAATGGAATGATGGACCTTGTACAAAACTGACATGTGAACCTGGCCCAATGTTAAACAGAGTCACCATTGCTTGCAATGAAGTTGAGTGTGAATCAGGCACTTTAGTTCATGAGGATGGAAAATGCTGCCCAATTTGCAAACCAGGCAACTTCACAACTGTTGAGACAACAACTTTTACACCAACAACGCCAAGTAAAATATCAACATCCCAACAACCACAATTCACGACGACACCAGCCAGCCAAAAGTCAACACCTGAAACTTTGGTCTCAAGTATGGATGATTTAATATTTATTATGAGATACTCAAAGTGATAATCATTCATTTGATTAATTGTTTATTCACTCGTACGATATTAATTAATCATATTAATTGAATATGAATGGGAGCATTTTAAACATGTTAAATGGTTTGGTTTTGATGAAACACTCGTTATAAATTTTCTTAAACTATTGCAATTTATTTTGTTAACAGATCGCAACATCAGAGAAATTAAATTTAAATTTTTATCATTGCATTATTCCAAAATGTTAACACAGCAGTAGTTAGCTATTAATGACATCTCTCTCTCTTTCTCTCTCTCTCTCTCAATCAGTTTATCTCTCTCTCTCTCTCTCTCTCTCTCTCTCTCTCTCAGTCTGTTCATATTTATTTCTCTCTCAATCAGTTCATATCTCTCACTCTCTCTCTCTTTCTCTCAGTCTGTTCATATGTATCTGTTTTCAGTCTGTTCATATCATTCTATCTTAATCTGTTCATATCCATCTCTCTCTCTCTCTGTTCATATCTCTCTCTCTCTCTCTTTCTCTCAGTCTGTTTATATCTATCTGTTTTTAGTCTGTTCATATCATTCTATCTTAATCTGTTCATATCCATCTCTCTCTCTGTTCATATCTATCTCTCTCTCTCTGTTCATATCTCTCTCTCTCTCTCTCTTTCTCTCAGTCTGTTCATATCTATCTGTTTTTAGTCTGTTCATATTCTATCTTAATCTATTCATATCCATCTCTCTCTCTCTCTCTCTCTCTGTTCATATCTATCTCTCTCTCTCTGTTCATATGTATCTCTCTCTCTGTTCATCTCTCTCTCTCTCTGTTCCTATCTATCTATCTATCTATCTATCTATCTATCTCTCTGTTCATATCTATCTCTCTCTCTCTCTCTCTGTGTTCATATCATCTCTCTCTCTGTTCATATCTCTCTCTCTCTCTGTTCATATCTATCTATCTATCTCTTTCTCTCTGTTCATACTATCTATCTCGCTCTCTGTTCATATCTCTCTCTATTCATATCTCTCACTCTCTCTCTCTCTCTGTTCATATCTATCTCTATCTCTCTGTTCATATCTCTCTCTCTCTCTCTCTCTCTCTCTGTTCATATCTCTCTCTCTCTCTCTCTCTCTCTCTCTGTTCATATCTATCTCTTTCTCAGTCTGTCTTGAAAAAGTCTGGATAGATGAGAATCTCACAAAAGACTGGTTTCTGAATGTTTGGTGTAAACACAAAAAATAATTTACAAGTAGATGTATGTTGATTCTTGATGCATTTCGTTGTCATAGGAGGCCTTGCATGAAGAATATGCTTCATGAGAAGAGGACTGATCTTGTTATTATACCAGGGGAATGTCTAGTCAACTTCAAGTAATGGGTGTCGTCTGCAACCATCCATTTAAACAAGAGATGCTTAAAAATGCTTAAAAAATGACTGGATGTTTTCTGATGTTCCCAGTTTCACTGCTGGTGACAACAGGAAAAAAACAGAGTTGGAATTTATTTATTTATTTATTTATCTTGGGATTCCATCAGTAAAGATCTTATAAAGAGAGGTTACAAGAAGTGGTGTCTCACGACAGCTATGAATGGTTCTGAAAACGACATCCTTTGGCAAGAGAATGAAGAGGCAGAATATAATTTTAAACAGGACGAATTTGACAATTTAGATATTGATTCTATAATAGAAAGTGATGATGACAATGAAAATTAAAATTTCAATAAATTGTTAACTTGATATCCTCTTTTCTTCAAAATTGGCCTTTTTATAGATTTTTTATTTTTTCGCAAATTAAAAAATGCGTTTATTGACAAAAAATGTTACAATTAATATTGCTGGATTTAAAATGAAATATGAGATAAAATCTTTCTTATTTTAAAACAGCAAGTATGTATTTATTATTATAAATCAATAACGAAAAAATATTTTTGTTTAAACCTATTTATAATACGCACTCCTACTATCACCGGTAATTTAGCGTAAAAAAAAATGCGTATTATTTTCAAGAAATTATGGTAATTTTGTTTTTTTTTAATGGATATTTAATGCTGATTATAAAAATTCATTTTCTTCACAGACCAAAAATGATAAATTGGCAGAAATTAAGGAATTATAACTAGAATTGTTTTTGTAATTTTCTATCATGCCAAGATTAGCGAGCCAATCTTGGAGATTATTACCATTCTTATTGCAAGTTCAAAGCACACCAGGTGGCCTAATATTCTAATCTAGTGCTAGAGAAAATTTAAACTTGGGAAATACTAAATATATGAGTGATCTTTTTCTCATTTTCTCTCACACTCAGTACTCCTTGAATCTTAGTGGCTTTATTGCCTTACCTGTAGTGAAATAATTTTAAAAAATCATTAGGCATTTTCAAGGGTTAATTTTATCATATTTTTTGTGCTTTGGGTTACTTTGCATTTAAAGTGTTTTACTCATCCTGGTTGGAGTAGGTTCAACATTTCATACCTAATACCTAAGTAATTTCAAGTATAACCATTAAAAGATTGCTTCGGCAATAGCAGCAAGGCCGATTATATTATGGGGAAGCATTGATGTCCTCATGAATCAAAGAAGAAATGTATTTTATTTCATTGTACTGTATGATTATAATTCCTCATAAATACTTATAAGTTTTTCTTTTCCTATCATATTATTTCTTTCTTTTTATTTATGTAACATTTTAGCAACAGGACCAACAGCCGTACCAACAACAGGAACTATTTCAATCGGACCAACAACAGGACCTATTCCTTCAGAATCAACAACAGGACCTATTCCGACAGGACAAACAACAGGACCTATTCCGACAGGATCAACAACAGGACCTATTCCGACAGGACAAACAACAGGACCTATTCCGACAGGATCAACAACAGGACCAATTCCAACCGGAACTGCAACAGTTGCATCAACACCAATGATTAGCACAGGTAAATAAATATCCTTTCCTCTGCCAGAAAGTCTTCCAAGAACTATGGTTTTGTGTTCAAAACTCAATAGAAGCTAATTTATAAATTTTCATCCCTGTTAACAACCTTCCATCCTGGAGTGAAATAAAATCAATCCAAATATTAAAATAGCAGGAATAAAACTCAGATAATTAAAGAATCAATAAAGATTTTATGTTCAAAAATATCAGTTTCATAATCCATTAGTAAGGAGGAAGTTCCAATCAGATATGTTCTTCCCAAAAAATGTTACTTTGTGAGACAGAATTCCAAGATGATGTTTCAATAACCTCAAGTCTTTTGTCAACCATTATCTATCCTACATATCCTCATAATCAGCACTTCTTACCACCACTTCTTAAGTTCATTAAACAACCGCATTCAGTAAGCCTCTACCTTGAGTGGCTCTTGAGCTTTGTATTGATTAAGAAAAAATTGATACTGTAAATTAATAGGAAAAAAGGTTATTTCTGAAATCTAAAAAACTTATTTTGTTTTTTCTTCATTGACAGTGACATCAAAAAAGACAAGTTCTCTTCAAACAACAACACTTGGATATGCTTCAACGACATCTGGTGAGAAACAATTTTATTATATTTATATTAAATTTTTAGTTCTGTTGAAATGAAAGCAGAATTTCTCCCTTTCTTTTTCTTTTATCTTTATTTACTATTACTAAACAAATGTTATATATTCTGCTTGCAGTGCATTGTACGTCTTCGGAAGGTCTTCAAGATATGAGCATCATCCCTGAAGATTTTATTACTGGAACACCAGACACACCAAACTCTCCAGTGACCGACATCAGACCTAATCGTCCTGGATGGATGGTCCCAGTTCCAAAGAAACCAACTGACCCCAAACCTAGCATCACTGTTAAACTGACCGATGACCCTGAAGGGGTTGAATTGATAGAGGTTGATATTTTTGGCAATGCTGAAAAAGTCACAATTCTTGTACAGCTTCCTGGCTCAGAAGATTTCAGACCTGTTGTTGGTGGCACTAACATCAGTGATGTATTTAAATCAACAACATTTGACAAAGTGACTGCAATCAAAGTGATTTTGGAAGAAAAGGCTAATGTGACCAATTCTGAACTCGTTGAACTTCTTCCCAATGAAGACTACCGTGTCTGGCTGGATATTAAAGCCTGTTTCCATTTGACAAGTAAGAATTTTCTATTCTTGCCAATATATAAAGTTTTTCAGGATCTATCTTAAACCTTTTTAAGTCTACCATTCACTCATGCATTGCATATTGCTGCAACATTTCGTCTGCTGCTCCTGGTATATATTTAGAAATTCTTGATAAAATGCAAAGAAGAATCTGCAATGATATTGGTCCTCACCTGGCATCTAAGCTTCAGTCATTTTCCCACCACTGTAATCTAAGCTCCCATAAATATTTTCTTATATATATATATATATATATATATATATATATAGGCTATAGAAACAGTCTGTTCTGCTATTTATGCATAGCCGGAAAATAGAACAGGATTAATGCCTTTCCAAAGGGTATTAGCACACACACACATCCATATATATATATATATATATATATATATATATATATATGAGAGAGAATATTGTTGTATTTATAGGAAAAGAATACTCATATAGATTTCTTGATTTCATCATTTTACATTTGAAATGGCTAAATGTAACCATAAGTTCTATGCTAAGAGTTTCTTCTATCGTACTTCTTGCCTGTGGAACATTTTTCTAGCTCCATATTTTCCCGCCAATTAGAGTTGTGGCAAGGTCTTATCATTTTACATTTGAAATGGCTAAATGTAACCATATGTTCTATGCTAAGAGTTTCTTGTATTGCATTTCAGCAATACTCCATTTTTGGCAGAATCTGACTCTTGTAAAGAAAAAACCTGGTAGGAAGTGTTGGGTACTTCCTGGAGTCATATAGAGTGCTGACTTTTTTCAACTTTTTTAGCAATGGATTGTATATATCACTGCAACTTCACTGCCTTTTCTGTAAATACTTTCATTGCAATTGTTTTGCTGAACTTTCCTCTACAGTACCTAAACTGGAGAAATTTAAGCGCAGTACTAGATTGGTGGAAAAATCTCATCATTTTAAATGTTAAAATGTCTAGATGTAGTCATAAGTTCTATGCTAACAGTTTTTTTTTTCACATATCTCATTTGTGAAACTCTCTTTCCACTTCTTGGTTTCCAGTCAAATTTGACTTTTAAAAATTTAAATGTAATGTCAATCGTTATCTTCCCTCTTCTTAATTCCCATTTTTTATTGTTTTCTCTCCTTAGTAATGTTTTTTTTTTCTCTCACATTCTCTCACACTCAGTAACCACTTGCATCTTAGAGGCTTTACTGCCTTGCTTGGAGTGAAATCATTAAAGAATAATAAATGTACCTACGTAAAAAGGGTGTTTGAAAGAGACAGTTTTGATCATGGCACGGGTATTACTCTATACGCTGTCAGGAGTTTTTGCTGTTTCAAAAACCTATTGTTACAATTTTAATAAAACCCAAACATATGAAACTGCAATTATAGATTCTTATTTTTCTTGAAAAAAAACCCCAAAAATATTAAAAAATATGTTTTATTTAAATTGTTTATTTACAAGAATAATTTGATATTGACAAGTTTCTAAAAACTAAGTTCAATGCAATATTTATGTCATTTGCCATATGACAAAGAAATATCTATGAAAACAATTATTTTTGAATTCATGAATTTACAAAAAATTTAAATAAACACATAATGACAAGTAACTATAGATTATTATAATCGATTTTATTATAATAATAGATTTTATATAATAATAGATTTTATTATAATACATTATAATAATAGATTTTATATAACAGATTTTATTATAATACATTATAATAATAGATTTTATAATAATAATACATTATAATAATAGATTTTATTATAATAATAGATTTTATTATAATAAAATAGATTTTATTATATAAAAATAGATGATAATAATAGATTTTATTATCTTACATTATAATAATAGATTTTATATTATAGATTTTATTATAATACATTATAATAATAGATTTTATATAATAATAGATTTTATTATAAAAAATACATTATAATAATAGATTTTTATATAATAAATTTTTATTATGATAATACATTAAAATAATAGATTTTATATAATAATAGATTTTATTATAATAAAAGATTTTATCATAAAAATACATTACAATTATAGATTTTATTATAATACATTATAATAATAGAGTTTTTAAATATGCAATATGAGTTTTTATTCAGTTTTTCTAATGTTA